ATGACTCTTGTCCTACGGAACAGGAAATCACCATCGTGGTTGATTGCCAAATGGGTCAAACGCCATGGGTGAATGCCTTGAAGGAGGTCCGAAAATACCTAGCCAGGAAGGACATCCAGTACAGAATTGAGCTTGTCGACTTCCAAATGGCCAACCCCCGAACCCACGCGATCTTACCTAATAATCCCATCGTCTCCTCGTGGGAGGATGTCTACCGCCCGAGAGTTCTCTCGGCAATCCAAGGAGCCGACTGGCAGACGGTCGACGTGTTTCATCGGGGCTACAGTCATGAAAGGATCGATTGTCCTGTCGCTCTAATCATCACGGCTTGGGATGCTGAGGATAGCCTATGGTGGGAAAGTCTGATACCGAATTTGCAACGTATATGGCCGCATGCGATTGAGCTTCGTTCTGCGAACAATATTTGCGCAATGGATCTGGATGTCGAGGCGTCTGCAAGAATTTTGACGGATACTGCTGTCAGAGGTCCTATTCAGATGGGTGCAAGTATTGGAATAAAGGGAGAGCGCGGCGGTGGCACACTTGGGGATTGTGCAACTGGAGTGGCCTGATGGAAGCAAATCAAAGTTGGGCCTGACAAATCACCATGTCGTTCTTGATGACAGACTGCGCTCAGGTAACTTCTCAACATCCCCTAAATGTTTTCCTTCTCAGGGCGACTAACACCGTTTGGACAGTTACAGATCAGGGCACGCCACTTCCTTCTTTCACGATCTTTCCCGCAACAAGCTCTTGTCCTGACCGCTCCATGCGATAGCGATACACGCACATGGATCGCGACCATCGATGAGAACATTGGAGCCTGGAGAAAAGTGGTTGATGGTGATCCTACAAAGCCAGGTGATTTCGGCCTTCGGGCCATGGTGAACATGGGGGACGCGTCAAAAAGAGATCGGCTCGAGCGTGCTCTAAGCATGATCACCGAGTCTGAAACGAGGAAAGGACGGATCGGATCTTTCAACCGTGATGCAGGCTTTGTCACTGCATCTTCGGGAACCCGCAAGGTCAGCGTGAACGGAAGAAGCTGGCCCCTTGACTGGGCTCTCATCAGTCTCTATACTCAGCGGCCTATGACCAATACCATAGTTGATGTGCCACACAATTCCCTCATGACTTGGTATGAAGGAATAGAAATCAACGAGTGGTCGGCATCAAATTCTCTCATGGGTCTACAGGTGTCGAAGAAGGGGCGCACCACTGGTTGGACAGATGGTACTGTCAATGCCATCAAGACTGATCTTCGACTCACAACGGAGGAGCAGCATCCAAAGGTCAATGTTTACGGAAAGCCTATTTCGGCCTGGGCCATACCGACGTCGTCAAAGGCGACCACAGCATTTGCGTCCAGAGGTGATTCTGGGTCTTTCATTGTTGAAATTTCTGGGAAAATAATTGGCCTACTGTTCGGAGCGAGTTACGATGGTACTGCATACTTTATTCCATTCAATGTTGTCGTCGCCGACATCGAGAAGGTGACCAGAGCGAAAATCATCAATCCTTCGAAGGACTAAAAGTTGATTCGCAAAAGAGAAAAAAAATTTTTTTTTGGGAGAAAAAAGAGAGGCGTCCTTAACTTTATAAATGTGATATATCATCATATCATGGCCAATCTGGGCAAAAGATCTTCTCACGCCACTTCCAGTGTGATTGGATTGGTCTTTTGGAAGAGGCACTATGGATCAAACTTGGCTTTCAGCTGTGCCAGTTGCTTCTGATTTGCACCAAATGGAGCAGTGTAGGTTAAGTCGCTGGCTGTCTTAGCATTAGCAGGAATTCCGTCGCATTAAGACAAAGGTTTCTGGAAATCCTATGTTCACTGTAATTGGTATATTCCAAGATTGCTCCAGACTTGGGCTGCACAACAGTCTGTTGGATTTCTTCTCTGCATTTGGCCTGCAAATGGCACCCCCAAGCCCGGAACTGTTCATCCTTGCTCGGATCTATCCATGATAGTCCCAGAATACCGGCCTGGTAGATGCCTTGCATTGGGAAAGCTGTTGCCTCCACAAGTGTCATATTCTGCTTACCTAACTATATTACACTAGCAGTCTCACAATTTTGTGATTGTCATATTAATCCAAAAAGGGCCCGTACTGTATATAAAAACAAATAAAGTCCTTAATAGTGGCCAAGTCCGGTGCAGGTTGCCCTTCACGGAGACAATCTTCTTTATTCATATCACTATCCTCTGATGCCCATCTTCAACACAATTAGTTACCATCATAAAAGACAGTGGATCCAACTATGCATACATCTTCTAAACCTCCAAAACTCTATTCTGAAGTTAGATTAAGTCCTCTGAATATTTGTTTTCTGCTCTCACACTGTCCTTCTCTCAATGTGCCCCTCTCTCATAGCCATTTGCTTTGGCACAAGCAAGTCTATCCACTTTTGTTTTCAGCATTTTGAAAAATTTCCACCACTAATCTGAGGCAAAAAAAAAAAGAGAGAGAAAAGATAAGAATAGAGAAGAAAATCTACAGAGATAGGCATAGAAATACAGATATATATTTTCTGCAGGATCATAACAAGTACAGGAAAGGGGGAAGAAAGGAGAGGAAACAAAAGGCTAGAAAGAACAGCGGGGAAAAAAAAGGGTCACAGGACACAATTTTTGCTATTATCTTTTTTACTGGGGTCAGCAGGGGATATCCCACTGCCACCTTCATTTTCCAATCTGTTCTCTGCATGGTTCCTAGGTTGCATGTTGCTAAACAGCTGGCCCACACATAAGGGAAGGACGGGTGAAGATGGGGTGAGTATAAATGAGCTCGGGTGAGTAAATCACCTTGACTGGGTGATCTGATCACCTGACTCACCCAGCTCACCCACTTAAAGCGGCAATGTCTGAATGAGGAAGGAAAAAGACTGCTTGCAGATTTTTATACGATATTTTCACCTACCTAGATAGGTGAGAGAACATGCATTCTCCCTAGCTCCCTTGCGAGACATCAATGATGAAACCATGTTTGCAAGGTATGACTCTTCCTGTTACTAAGTAATCGAAATAGCAGGTACTATCATCACATTTTTTAGTATCGTTGCAGGTATTCATGAAAGTGCAGCTATTCTGCGAGCAGCAATATAGAAAATATTCCACATTTGTCCTCTATCCTGGCATTGAAGGACTATTTATTTTAAGGCTGTCACTTTTTTTAAAAAAAAATCAATAAAAAATAAGGAGAACCAGGACAGGGTAAAAGATATACCAGGACATAGGGAGATATATATGACCACTCCATACAATAATTCACTCCCAAACAACAGATAAAAATGATAGTTGTATTTCGAGAGTGAAGGTAGTCCTTGTACATTGGAAGATGATAGAACATGATATTCTGTATGTCGACCTAGGATTCGATAAATATATAAAAAAGCATCCACCTTTTAAACGAACACCAAAACCTAACCCCCTCAACTGTCAGCAAATCATGGAACACTGAATTCTTTTTTCTACTTATTACGATAGATTAGAATATACCCAAGTAAAGCAACTTCTCAAGCAGGCCATCGTTCGAAAAGGCGGCTCTGCCCGATTGGGCCGTGTCGGATCTTTCCGAAGACGATCGACTTCCGCCTCCACTCTCTTTTCAGCCTCCATCTGCATTTGTTTGTGCCTTCTCCGTCCATTATTATTACAGAATCCAAACTGCTCTCCATGGTTCACCTGGCTAGACGCTCGAAAGATCTCCACATCCACAGCTTGACGGCTGACGTCGAACGGTGGGTCGATAACGCCATCGCCGCTACGCCGGTTATGCTTAACGCGGGGCTCTGTTGGTTCGTGCACTTCTTGCACTTGGATTTTTATACTGACCAGTTCCTCTCTGCGAGCAGGCAGGGTTACATCCAACTCCAGAAATGTCCTATTTTAGCTCGCGTGGCCGTCTCTCTCCTCTGGATGGAGCTTTTCACCATCACGCGTGCGGTGGAGTTGGTTTCGCCATCGCTCTCATTGACAATGTCGCTGCGGCCAGCGTCGGATAATGCCGTACATTGTGAAGGATTAATTATTAATTGAGCAATTCCTCGTCATATAAGGAGCGTCGACATCCATGGCATGCGCGCCTGTCCAGACCGCCTGACTGCTCGAGCTTGCGGCGGTTGACTGAGACAGAGAACGCGACTATGGGCCTCTCGACGCTCTTCAGCAGGTCTCATCGCCAGGCGGAGGGCAGCACCAGTACGCCGACAGAGGATGTGACACCAGTGAAAGATCCCGTCGCCTCAGTGCCTTCAGACAAGGCTATCGGCGAGAGTCAGACCCCGGTCTCTGCCGACCCGATCGCTGACGAGAAAGGCAACTGGACAGACGAGACAGCAGCCATCGAGCAGGAGAGCCATGAGAACCCCGAGATCGCTGCGCTGCCGCTGGAAGTGCGCCAGTTGGTCAGCCTGACCGACGACCCAACGCTGCCGACCATCACATTCCGCTACTTCCTGCTCTGCGTCATCTTCGTCATTCCCGGCGCGTTCCTCTCGCAGATGAGCTACTTCCGCACGACGCAGGCGCCCTACTCGATCTTCTTTGTCCAGATCGCGTGCCACTACCTCGGACACTTTCTCGCGCGCGTGCTGCCGGCGACTGTCGTGCGCGTCCCTTTTACCAAGTGGTCGTTCAGCCTCAATCCGGGCCCCTGGAGCATCAAGGAACATGTGCTGGTGACAGTGACGGCGGCGTCGGGCGCGACCTACAACCTGGGCTTCTACCCGATCTCGCTGGCGGAGCTCTACTACGGCGAGAAAGTCCACCCGGCCGTGGCCATCTTCTTCATGTTCTCCATCGTCTGGATCGGCTATTCCTTCGCAGCCATCGCACGCCAGCTGCTGCTTTACGACCCCAACTACATCTGGCCGCAGGCGCTGATGCAGAGCACCCTGTTCGAGACCTTCCGCAAGACGGACATGTCGTCGCCGCTGGCCCGCAAGCAGATGAAGGTCTTCTTCCTGTGTCTGATCGGCATGACGCTGTGGCAGTTCTTGCCGGAGTATGTGTTTCCTTTCACTTCGTCTCTGGCTTTCCTCTGCTGGGTGGCGCCGCATAACCCGGTGGCCAACTTCATCGGGTCCGGCCTGGGCGGGATGGGCTTTCTGAACTTGTCGCTGGACTGGTCGAACATCAACTGGAACGGGTCGTCGATCCTGCTGACGCCGTGGTGGACGCAGGTCATTCTTTTCCTGGCATTTGCAGTCAACTGTTGGATCCTCCTGCCGGCGGCCAAATGGGGCAATCTGGGCTCGTACCACCATGGACTGATGAGCAACAAGCTGCTGCTGGCGAACGGGTCGACATATCCGGTCCTTGAGGTGCTGACGCCGGACTTCCAGATCAACGAGACGGCTTATCAGCAGTACGGGCCGATGTACATGGGCCTGCAGAATATTTGGGCCACGTTCTTCGACTACGCCAAACTGCCGGCCGCCGTCACCTGGATTGCGACATTTGGCTTCGTGCAGGTGTCCACCAACCTGCGCAAAGTGCTCGACTCGCGGAAGAAGCAGGCGCGCAACAAGGGCGAGAGCATCAACCACCAGTACCACGATCGGCTGAACGTGCTGCAGCGGAACTACAAGGAGGTGCCGTGGTGGTGGTACGTAGTGCTCTTCCTGGCGGGATTCGTGGTGCTGGTGACGGCCATCGGGTGCGGGTATCTGTGGATTCCGATCTGGACGCTGTTCGTGGCGCTGAGCACGGCGGCCGTCGTCGTGATCCCGATGGGCTGGCTGTACGCCATCTCGAACTACCAGGTCGCGACCGGCTCGTTCAACGAGCTGATGTACGGGTACATGGTGCACACCAAGGCCGGGAACGGCTACCACCATCCGTGCGGGCCGTCGACGTACGGCGCCATCGCGGGGGATGCCTGGTACCGGGCGCAGTACATGCTGCAGGACCAGAAGATCGGGCACTACATGCACATTCCGCCGCGGGCGATCTTCTTCTCGCAGATCTTCGGGACGGTGCTGGGGGTGCCGGTGAACTACGGGGTCGTGCGGTGGGTGCTCAACACCAAGTTCGACTACCTGTCGGGGGCGAAGCAGGATCCTCTCAACCAGTGGACGGGACAGCAGATCCAGTCGTACAACACGATGGGCGTGCAGTACGCGGTGATCGGGCCGCAGCGGCTGTTCTCGCAGCAGCTGTTCGCGCCGCTGCCGTGGTCGTTCCTGGTGGGCGCGGCGGTACCTCCACTGTTGTATCTTCTACACCGGGCGTTCCCCCGGTGGCGGGTAGACCTGTGGAACGTAACAATCTTCTTTTCGGGGCTGGCGGTGTTCTACGGCAACATCAGCACGGGGTACACGTCGGCGATCATCGGGGGGTACGTGGTGATGTACCACTTCTACCGGAAGCGGTTCGAGGTGTGGAAGCGGTACAGCTACTTGATCGCGGCGGCGTTCGACGCTGGCTTCAACTTCAATATGCTGCTGATCTTTTTGTTCTTTGGGGCGGGCAAGCAGATTGCGATGCCGAACTGGTGGGGGAATAATGCGGAGTCGGTGGAGCGGTGTTTTGCGCTGGACGAGTAGCAACAGCCATACGTGTGCTGTACGCCTGCAGAAGATGTGTATGAATGATGATAATATTGCAGCAATTGACTTGACAATAGACATAAGCGGATATCCAGTTGCAAGTCACGCCTAGCAAAGGTCAGAAGAAAGGCAAAACATCCTCCACGCAACAAAAGAAAAAGAAAGAAAGGAAGAAAGAAGGAAGGAAGGAAGGGAGAAAGGGAGAAAAGAAAAAAGGAAGGAATTTTTTAATTGACAGTCCTCATCAGGTAAATATCAAGGACTGACTATAAGCATGCCACTGAAACGAAGTCCAGCAGACTGCCATACTCCAGAGGCACATCTCCTCCTACATACAATACATATACCGTACATACTGTACATATACCACGCTATCAGCCAGCAGCCAATTATTGAGTACAGTACATCCTAAGAATACACAGCCAGACCCATCGAAAACCTATCCGTCCCATTGACAACAACATTCTGCACATCTGCGAACGGAAACCCCGAGACATCAAACACCGCCACATGGGCAGTCGTATCACCCGCGCCAAAAGCCAGGGCATACAGCCTGTCGCCCGCGAGGGAGAAGTCGAAATTCCCGGCATTGCCATTCGCCGAGGTCCAGTCCTGGAGGATCCCGCCGGACAGCAGGTCGACCTGCACGATCCGGTTCAGCCCTGCGTCTGGCAGGATGCCTGTCGAGTGGTTGACGCCCAGGCGCGCCCAGCAGATGGCCTTCTGGCGCGGCACGACGGTCTTGGTGACGGGCGTCTGCGGCCGGGCCAGGTCGATGGTGACGCCGCCGAAGGTCGGGTCGGCGACGAAGACGAGCGAGGAGTGCGGGATGGGCGCGGCGCCGAAGAGGGATGCGGTGCCGGAGGGGGAGACGATTGTCGCTTTGTCTGAGACGCGAGTCTGAGTCTTCTGCTGCTGGTCAACAGCCCATGTGGCCAGGAAGCCCGTGTTTGTGTTGTTGGTGGTACTGGTGATGCCGCGGACGTGCGCGACGAGGACGGGGCCCTGGCCATCGTGGGCAAAGTATGTCTCTGACAGGAGGTTTCGCGACGTGCTGGGCGGGTTCGTCTGGTTGAGGTCCAAGCTGCGGAGGGCGTCGAAGGGGTCGATGCCCCGGGGCGTCCAGCGCGCGCAGCTGACGCCGGCGCGGGATCCGGCGTGGGCGACGCAGACGAGGTCGCGATGCACGGCCAGGGACACGGGGAAGTCGCCGGGGGTGGTGTAGGTTCCGACCAGGGAGAGGTTTGTCGGGCTGGAAGGAGGGATGCAGAAGAGCGAGAGTTGGTTGGAGCCGGCGTTGACGGCGAAGAGGTGCTGAATTTCGTCAGCAGCTTGTCCTATCTAGTATAGAATGGCTGGGATAGAGGAGACAAACATACATTCCCCTCCACGACGACACTATCCTGACTGCCTAGCGAGTCAGGGGTACTGGGACCCCCCGTTGCAGCGAGTTCAGCAGCGCCATTGCCGCCTGTAGGATGGAAGACTGGATCGCCAAGTTTACCATCTGCATCGACGACGGGGAGCGCAACAACGGAGTTGGGCGATTTGTTGGTCTGGAAAAAGACGGCTTTGGCGGGGGCGTTGCTATGAGTCGGGTTTCTTGGGACGAGGGGCGTGGCGTCTGCTGCGGAGAGGAGGGCTGCTGCTGCAGCTATGCAGAGGAGAGGAGAGAGGTGGACCATTTTGTATGTATATTCGTATTAGCTGGCTGAGAGGAATGGGGGGAACAGTGATGAGAAAGGCTGAAGCTGGCAGTGAGGGACTGGAGATTATTATACAGACGATGCAGACAGGCAGGAGTATTATATATATGGGTGGTTTGACATGGATACCGTTCCACCGGTAATATTAATTTAATATTCCCTCTACCGAGGATTATATCCAACAGGAACCATCAGTCGAGCAACATACGTAGCATCAATCAATCAACTAAGCTCGTTCAGAGTTGATCGGCCGAAAACAGGGACTGAGGGAGAACTACAATTACAAATCGCAATACTGAAGTAGATTACTAGTGCTCCACTAACTAGGTAAGTAGTAAGTGAGTGATAGGAGGATACTCGCAAGCTTCTGGGGATGTAACTACCTACCAGCCAAAAGGAGGAGGGATGAACACACCTTTCCGAATCGAGTAATTTTGATCTGTCATGCATCAGCAGCAGCAGGATCCACTGCTTGTCGATCAGGTAACATTAATGATCAACCCTAGCATACAAAACAATTCTTCGAAAAGAAGGTATCAATAATCCAAACGGATCACCTTGGCAAAGTACGAAAGCCAGAGGATTAATCCATTAAACAATCCGAGATCTTTATTTATATCCTCTTGCAGACAAGCAGCAAGCAAGAGTTTGTCTGTCTTTAACAGACTGGAGTTCGTGTTTCTATTCGTATTATTGATATGGGAACCAACAAAAAAAAGAAAGAAACTCATAGAAATCTAGAATAGGTAGGTAGAAACAAGCATACTTACAAACAAACCAAATGAACTACGTCTCAATAAGGTAGTGAAGTTTGTTTCCGTGTTTACTAATAACCTAAACCTAGGTAACAATAATAATAATGGTTCTTTCTAATTATTCTATTCCTCTTTCAGAAACCGTGATTCCTAAGCACTAGGAAATAATAATCCTAATCTTAATGTTGGCTTAAGGTTAATGATTCCTCATATTTCCTAATCTGGTTAGTAAGGACGACGTCATCTGTCGAGTACTCCGTATGTAACCTTGAGATTTTGTGATTAATTGTTTACTATTCATTTTTTTTTCGTGAATGGAGATGATTAACAGTACGTGGTCTGTCCACTAGTTCCTGAATTGTTATTACATGGATCCTGTAGTAACTCCATCAGAAACACAGATCTATCTAGTAGGAGAAAGAAAAACTTCTCTCCTTCTCCTCCTCCCTTCCTCGATTGGACTAGATTAGATTGGATTGGATAAATATTAGCCACAATGATAATGATGGTAATAACGACAATAATGGATCCGAAATAATAGTATTATCACTACTATTATTATTAATACCATAATAATAATAATTAAACCCGCCTATCAAGATTAGACTGGGTTAAGGGAAGAAAAAAGAGAGGCGTCCTTAACTTTATAAATAAAGCCGATACGAATCTGTCATACACAAGGGTTTTTGATTGGTTTAGTTACGTATGCGCATTTCCCTGCTGCCAAAAAAAATAAAGAAATAATTTTTTAATAAAAAAAAGGATATATTGCCCTGAGTATTATCTGTTTTGTGAGTGAGGAATTACCCCATACCCCATGCTAATATATCAAAGTTCAACTGGTTAACATCTCAGTATGAGCCAAAGAGGGGAAAAAAAACCAAAGTTCATTACCACAGCAAAAATAATCATAGGAAATGAAGGGACACAACTTTCTTCTCTTTTTCTTCAGTAATTGATTTCTCGATTTCTCGATATTTAAGTGCTATTTGTTCTATTTTCCTGTCTTGACTGCAGTTTGTTTCTTGATTCTCTTTGTTCCCTTTCTTTCTTGCTTGCTTGCCGGGTTTTGAAAATCTTGTAGTGAGACAGGACGTTGGTGAATTTGATCAAAAAAAAGAATAGGTCGACTGCTTCATAGGTGTTTATCCATGACATACCCACCTCGACATACGTATAACCAGAATGAGTACCAATTAATAACGAATCCGCCGACTAGTACGTATACTATCTCCTGTCAGTATTTCTCTTCATACCTTCTGGCGCTGCTCACCCTAAACTCGCGATTCTGCCGATCCGTCAGGTCCAAAAACTCGGAATTCTCCTGGTGCTGCACAAGCACACCCTCCTGCGCGCGGTCTCGCCGGGCATTCTCGAAGCTATAGTACAGGAGCAGCGCGACAGAAAACACAATCGCAACCGAGGTCGTCCCGACGATGGCAATCTTGGCCGGCATGTAGCCCCGCATCCTTCGTGCGGAAGGTCAGCGGCCCTAGGATATTGCCCAGACAGAAGGCCATCAGCATGATGGCGTTCATGGTCACTTTCTTTGTGTGCCCCGCCACGTTGGCCCCTGCCAGGGCGTACATCAGTGGCAGCGCCGGCCCGGAACAGCTCATCAGGTAGTTCCCTGCCAGCCGGATGGCTTTTCCGCTGACAAAGGTCATCAGACAACTGCCCGCCAGGCCGATGGCGAAGCTGATGATCGCCACCAGACACCGCTGGTTGGTTCTCCCGGCGATGTAGTTCCCGATGAGGATGGAAACGACGCTGATGACGCCGCCGGGGATGGAGAGCAGTTCGGTCTGCTTGGTCGTGGAGCCGAAGCTCTGGATGATGAGAGCGGAGAAGCTGCTGCCAGCAGCGTTGAGCACGTCCATGGCAGCGACGACGACGGCGATGAGGTATGTCTGCGGGTCGGTAAACACCTCGTAAAACTGCTCCTTCTTGAAGCGCTTGTTCTCGATGCCGGTTTTGTTCTCGCGCAGGCGTTCAATCGCGCAGATCTTCTCGGCGTGGCTGAGCCGGGAGGACATGGGGTTGTCGGGCAGGAAAACAATCACGGCGACGCCAACGACTACCGTGACGAGCCCGATGATCAGAAACAGTAGCTGCCACGAGCGGAACTTGTCGGCGGAGTAGAACAGTAGGCCGTAGGCGACGAGACCGCCCATGATAGAGGCGGTGCCGGTGCCGATGTACCAGGCGGCCATGCGGATGGGTTGTTCTGACAGGAAGTGAGTCAGTTGCGCTGCAACCAAGGACTGAATGGCACTCACCATGTCTTTTGTACCACATCGACGTGATCAGGATCAACCTGGATAGTCAGTTAATAGTCTGATATTTGCAGAGGAGACTCACGCAGGCGCAATGGCGCTTTCAAACACGCCCAGCAGAATCCGCAGCGTCATCAACCCGCCGAAGGTGGAGGCCGTACAGTTGAGCGTCGTCATTACACCCCATAGAATGACTACTGGCGTCAGTAAGCACGACTGCATGGCGAGTGATAGACCCACCGTTCAGCCCCAGATACTAGGCCGTAGGAAACCGCTGCATCAGATAGCCCGTCGGCAGCTCAAACGCGAGGTACGTGACATAGAAAGCCAGCGCGAGATTGGCGAACTGATTCGTCTGCATGTTGGTGTCTTGGAGGAGGCCCATGACAGAGGCGTAGTTGACTGGCAGTCAGCAGAAAATTAAAAAAAAAAGGAAAAAAGAAAAAGGACGCAGTCATACTCAACACCTTGTCCAGATACTGCAGGTTATAGCACGCCCACATCAGAGGCATGATCATGCAGTCGATCTTGCGGACGAGTTTTCGTTCGTCGATGGTGGACACTGCTGCCGTCGTGCCTTCGGCCTGGAGGAACTCGAGTGCCGCGTCGACATGGCCGGTGATGCTGGTAACAGGGTGGGGATGTGTCTTCTCAATGTCTGGAATGCCCATGTTGCAGAAAGCGAGAGGATAACAGGGAGACTACTAGGCATATACATGAGAATACTCGACAGGAGGACACTGCTAGACTTATATCAGTCCAGGACACAAAATTAATAATAATCCTTGTCAAGCATATCATCCCACAGATACAACTGCCTAAACAGGTAAGTAGGGTTAGCGCGAGGAGAGATAACGAGATGCGGGGAAGACAGCACCCCGAGTCTTATCTAAGGGGTAGCCTACTGCTGGTATCTTATGGACCAGGAAGGTATCTTGCTACTTACTATGAATTATGAAAGAGTGTAGGGATGGTAGCAATGCTATCGATAGAATAAGTTATCTCCCCGATGCTTGTCCTCAGGGAATATTTCCGATATAAGAAGTTGTTGATCGATAGATAACTGCAAGTTGAGCAAAAAAGACTTTTTTGTCTGATAGATAATCGTAGATTTTTTTTTTGCCCCCTTTTAAAAAAAAAAGGAAAAAAATGATAAAAAAACAAGAGAGAATAGGAAGAGACAAGAATGTCTTGTGCAAAAATACCGAATGTAACTAAACTTAGCAATCCATGTAGAGCTATATAAACACCATACTTGTGCGATCACGTTGAAAGAAAAGGCATAAATTGGAGAATTTCTTTTGTTTGTGATATAAATGAACTCCTGACTGCCTGCACGTAGAATTATTATCTACACTAGATGCTGATTTTTTTTATATATCTGTTTTGATTGTGACTAAGATATAGTACTATGATTTAATTCAAACCTTATTTTTATCATCTGCTAAGTCTTGTGAACACACAGCACTAGCAAGCTACATGATATTTCTTAACTATTGTGTACAAACAACTAACAGAAGGTGAGGCTGTTTCAAGATATCTATATCTTATTCCTCTTTATATAGGATAAATATTTGTTGGATTGCGATTAGGAGACAACTTCGGTGAGGAATACAGTCCGTTCTTTCTTTCTCTCTTATATTTTTATTCTGGTTTTTATTTTTAATTTTCTTTTTATTTGATTATGCCTCAGATCCAGATCCTTGCAAGACACTTACTCTATCAGGATTTTATTTGAATTTTGCAATATGACCATCTCACTATTTCACTTCTACAAATAACGACTCTCACAATTCGTCGAAGAAATACTATCGTCTACACGACGGTCTAGCGGATTCTTGTAAATCTACCTGCAATCTACCTGCTATGACGACATAGTTTATTCATTTGACTTTGCACAGTCAGCAACTCAATCTTATCATGGGCTTCGATCCCGCCGGCTTGACCATCCCCTTGCAAGACACTTCCCCCAGCTCGCTTCCACCATGGCCACCGACATACCCAAATACGACTCGATCATCATCGGCTCCGGACAGGCCGGCATGCCGCTGTCGATCACGCTGGCGCGCGCGCGGCGCAAGACGGTGCTGATCGAGCGCGAGCACATCGGCGGCTGCTGCATCAACGAGGGCTGCACGCCCACCAAGACACTGGTCGCGACCGGGCGAATCGCCTATCTGACACGCCGCTGCCAGCGCTACGGCGTGCACATGTGCTCGTCTCTGTCGTCGCAGGCGTCAGCTGAGAATGACGTCATTATCGACATGGCGAGAGTCCGCCAGCGCCGCCGTGATATCGT